GCGAGTTGATACGTAGACTCGCCAAGTAGGGTCGTGATTGTTCCTCCGGATTCACTTTGGACTCGGCGAGTCCATGAGTGGACTCGGCGAGTTCACGCTGTTTAATGAAACCCTAATCCCCCGGGTTTGGAGCCTATTTAAGGGCACTTATAGCCTCTCATTGCGGCTACCAATCCCTTGAGAGAACCCTAAGTGAGACAAATCGTTGTAAGGAAGAAGAAGTCACTTTTGATCCTTGTACCTTTGGTTTAGCAAGAAGGAGGTGAACAAGAGCAAAGGGGAGGTGCGATTCTAGCAGTTCCAAAGTTTAGAGACTTCATTTTGAGGTAATAGTTCGAACCTCCTTCAATTTTGGTGTTGATCATTAGAGTTAGGGTTTTCTAATCCCTTTGGAGAGTGATTATGTGGAGCAAATGGTCCCTCTTCGAGTTTGTGCCTTGGATCTGGACTCAAAGAGGTCCACAGACCTTAACCCTTGGGGGTTTTACGAATCAGATTGGGGTTATTGGACTTAGGTTGCCATTTTTGGGACTAAATCTCCTTTTGATGCCTTGTTGTTGTTATACAAGCATCAAGTTTCGAGCTTTACGTGACATTCATGCTTGGGAAGGCCAGATCTTTGATTTAGGGAAACAGATCTGACCTCAGGAGGCCAGTAGAGTTTGTGCATGGCATGAACTCGCCGAGTTGTTCCTGAGACTCGACGAGTAGGGTTAGGGTTTCACGTAAATTGCTTAGTGAGTAGACTTGCCGAGTTGGGGGATGACTCAGTGAGTCAGAAGGGAGTTAGAGGACTAGAGTTCAAGGCGGTACTCGCCGAGTTGTTCTTGAGACTCGGTGAGTTGAGTCGTGGTGGCCCCGTAATTCGTGCCTAGTATGACTTGTCAAGCATAGGGAGTGACTCGGCGTGCCAAGCGGGACAAAGTGTTAAAGAGCATGTGTGAACTCGTCGAGTCACCAGGGTGCACTCGGCGAGTAGGGTCAAAGTGTGACTGTTAACCTTTAGGGTTTGGTCAATGGAGTACTTGTGTCGAGAGGGGGGGGGGGGGTAAAATAGTCTTTTACCCTCCTGAGGGTGCCAATGGTAGGACGAGTCTAGTTTTGAGAGTTATATTTATAAGAGTATTTACTTTATGGGAATAGGCGGAGACTATGCAATATTTCTACCGAGTCGGAGATTTACCGAGACGCCTGAGGTGAGTCTTCTCACTATACTTTACCTAGTGTGGTAACAGATTTGTGATAGAGTATTTTAGAGTTGTATGCCAGAGTGATTGCATGTTATTTATGTGTTGTGATCCATTGTGATATGTGCTATGTATGATTCAGAGTTAGGACCTTCGGGTCCACAGAGTTAGGGCTAGAGGGCCCATAGAGAGTTGGGGCTGGAGGGCCCCACTGAGACACATAGACATGCGGGTCAACAGAGTTACATCCTCGAGTGGCTATTATGTGTTAGAGTGGTATTTTGGGGAACTCACTAAGCATTTACGCTTACAGTGTTATGTGTTATGTGTTTCAGGTACCAGTGTTGATCGCGGGAAGGCGCCGACATGATTCGTACACACGCACACCGGAGTTTATATATATATATTTTGATCTTGGGTTTTGTACTAATACAATGTTGATACAATGTTTTATTTATGAATTCAAATGATATTTTATGGGTTACAAAGTGAAAAATTGTTCAAATTTTTACGGTGTTATATTTGCAAATACTGATTTCATCACTTCCAACTTCATCACGAATGTAGTTGAACCTTCGATTGACATGTCTGGTCTTCTTATTAGGGATGTCGAAAACCCCCGTGGGACCCTGCTCCCATGGGACCTCGATCCCGTACGAGACTAAATTTTTAAAAAAAATCGGGAACGGGAGCGGGGGCAGAATTACACCCCGCTTATTTTCGGGACCGGGGTCGGGAGTTGGTATTTCCATCCCGTACTCCCATGGGGGCCCTGGTTGTATATTTATGTAAAATATATATATTTAATATAAAATACATATACAAGTTAGACTTTCTAATTGTAGGTGTAGGTTAGGTTTCACTTTCTCGTTTCCAATTAATAGATATTGAAGAGGTAGTGAATTGATCATATATTTTTGGATATGTAAGTATTTTCTATTTGTAATATTGGATTTGTCATATTTTATATTTTTAAGATTGTTGGAATTGTCGTTTTGAAATGTTGAATTCGTAATGTTGGATTTTAAATTTTTAGTTTCTAAAAGATTATGTTTTAAACTTTTAAAGTTATTAAAAATAAGCTTTTTAGCCTAAACCGAAGTAGTTGTTTAGCAAAAATAAAACGAATTTTAAGCCTATAAACCGGGGGAACCAGGGGACCGGGGGCGATGGAGGTAACCGGGACCGGGACCAGGGGCTATGTAAACGGGGGAGCCGGGGGCGGGACCGGGAGCGGGGGCAACAATTGATTTCGGGGGCGGGAGCGGGGGCAGCTATTTCCGCTCCCGTTTGGTCCCGTTGACATCCCTACTTCTTATGTGATATGGGTTCTTTGGTTAAAGCAATAGCACCCTCATTGTTACAAAATATTTCCAGGGGATCTTGAAGGGAAGAAACAACCCCTAGCTCTCCAATGAATTTCTTCATCCAAGCAACTTCTTGTGTAGCTTCTAAAGTAGTAATGTATTCAAACTATGTAGAGGACTATGATACAACACTTTTCTTGTAGCTTTTCCAAGATACTGCATCCCCATTGACGATAAAAACATATCCTGATTGTGACTTACAATCATCTCGATATGTTGTGAAAGAAGCATCAACGTAACACCTGACACTTAGATCTTCTTACACACCTCCATATATGAGGAACATATCCTTAGTTCTCTGCAAGTATTTAAGGATGTTCTTCACATCCATCTAATGACTTTCTCCTAGATTTTGTTGATACTTATTTGTTATGCTCATAGCACACGCAACATAAGGTTTAGTACAATTCATAACATACATGATGGATTCAATCATTGAAGCATATGGAACATCTTTTATCTTGTCTTGCTCAGTCTTTGTGTTAGGACATTGAGATGAACTTAGTATTATGCCATGTGTCATTGGTACACATCCTCTCTTAGAGTTATCCATCTTGAACCGCTTCAAGATTTTTTCCGTATATGTACTTTGGCTTAACCTTAATAATCATTTAGATCTATCTCTGTAGATTTTAATACCAAGAATGTATGCTATCTCACCTAGATTATTAATTGAAAAAGACTTTACAAACCAATACTTTATACCTTGTAAAGTCGGAATATGATTTCCAATGATAAGTATGTCATCCACATATAGACCAAGAAGTTCACCAAGCTCCTACTAGTTTTCATGTAAACACAAAATTCATCTTCATTTTTGATAAAACCATACTTTGTGATTTCATCATCGAAACTTTGATTCCAGTTTCGAGATGTTTGTTTTAACCCATAAATGCATATCTTGAGCTTACACACTTTATTAGGATGCTTTAGATCAACAAAACCTTCAGGTTGAACCATACTAACATATTCTTCCAAGTTTCCATTTATAAAAGAGGTTTTGACATCCATTTGTAATATCCCATAGTCATAATATGCGACTATGAAAAGTAGTATGCTAATAGATTTAATCATAGTGACTGCTGAAAACGTTTCATCATAATCAACTCTTCGAGTTTGAGTGAGTCCTTTTGCAACAAGTCTTGCTTTAAATGTGTGTAAATTGTCATTAATGTCAACCTTCTTCTACTCCTAACAATCTTACAATGGGGAGAAAGCTCAACCAAATCTCAAACTTGGTTTTCTCTCATTGATTGCATCGTTATGTTCATGGCTTCAAGCCATTTTTCAGATTCAGGATCCGCTATTGCATATCGACGGCTGATGGGCTCATCAACATTCATCATCACGAAGCACTCATTAATGAGAAATCCATATCTCTCAGGTTCCTGATGAGTCATACCGGAATTGCGAATGCATTGTTTTTGCGTAGGTTGAAGAACAGCAATTTATTCATCGATTAGAAACTTGTTTTCTAAGAATTTAGCTTTCCATGAAATAAAGATCTTATTCTCACTAGGGATGTAGAAGTAATATCCTAAACAATCTTTGGAGCATCTTACAAAGATGCATTTGGTATATCTAGGTTCGAGTCTGCTTGAAGTTTCCTGTCTAATATAAACTTCACAACCCCAAACCTTAAAATAAGATAAGGATGAAGCTTTTTCATACCAAATCTCATAAGGTGTTTTGTCTACCTTTTTAGATGGTGCCATATTCAAGATACGAGTTGCAGTGAGTAAGACATGACTCCAAAATGATAAAAGAAGAGTACTTATTCTCATCATAAATCGAACCATATCAAGTTAGTTCGATTTCTCCTCTTATACACACCATTAAGTTGTAGTGTTTTAGGTGGAGTAAGCTGTGAGATAACCCCGCGACTTCTAAGATGATATTGGAACTCTTGGTTCAAGTACTCGCCACCTCAATCCGAACAAACGAGTTTGATTGTCGTGTTGAATTGATTTTCATCTTTACTTTGAAACAATTTGAAATTTTCAAATGCTTCATGTTAATAAACATAACCAATACGTTTTTTTTATCTTGTTTATATTTTTATATGAGTAATGACGAGTTAAATAAACTATATGTTTATTTTATATTTTTCGTGTTTATTATGTTGATCATTTTTATCGTGTCAATAAAGCAAAACACAACTTTGTATCATGTCATATTCGTGTTATATAAAAAAATTATTATGTCGTGTAGAATAAAAACACGAAAAAACTGTCCAAAATTAGAATATTAGCTAATAAAAAGGATCAAAGAAGTTATATGTTTAACAAAAATTATAAAGTATAAACACGTTAAAAGCAACTACAAGAAAAGTTTTTGTGATTTTTCTGAACCAAAAATCTCTGGGAATTTAAAAAAATTATTGTATTTGTGTTTTTAAAACCATAAAAATTTCAAAAATACCTATGTTAATTGATAAGTTCTTATCATGAGTTTCAGATGGGTTCACATATTTTTTCAATCAACTGTATATAAATTTTTATAAAACAATCTATAAAAAATAAATTGCAAAAAACTCTCGTAGAGATATAACAAGTTTATTCATTTTAAACAATCTACATAACAAGTTTTTTCATTTTAAGTTTTTTCTCATGAAAAACTCCACCAGAAAAGAAGACCGAAAAGAATTATATTCAATGTGTGGGGAGTCTATGTGCCAACTTTACATACTTGAGGATCTAAAGTAAAAATATTCGTCCGCGTTTGGGAAGTAGGCTATGGGGAAATATACCCGATTACACAAATGAAGAAACACCATAGAGTTCGCTAATGGAGTAAATGCTCTAAAATTCTGTCCAGTCCAGGTCATCTCTCTTCTGCCATTGCTAATCACTGAAGCTCAAACTTATACTTCTTCATTCTCTTCCTTTACTCTCCATCCGAGACTTCAAGCGGAGATTTCAATTTTAAAGAGGCTTAAATCTGAAAGCAGCAAAAACAAGAAGGTTATTGGGGATTTAGAAGAAGATCTGCACAGAAAACTTACGTTTCGGCGCATGCTATATGCGGATTTAGGTAAAATTCGTGATACTTTACAGTTCATATTACATGAGTTGGTTTTATTATATGTAACAATACAGTAGAAATCGGAAAAAACTCACTGGAAGTTACATCTAACTAGGCTACAATGCGACGTTTGAAATTGAGTATTTTTTTTTTCAAAAATTCTGTTTAGTTACTCCCAAGGTTCCTAAAAAGGAGCCGCGCTTCGTTTTCGATGGCAGACCTAGTAATTTGAAATGCAAATTTGATCGAGATTCGATCCGAACTTTTAATCTATCTGTCAAAATCATCAACGCACTGAGTTTTTTTTTCTTCGTTTTGAAGTTGAGAAGCAAGCGTGACATTCGAAAACGAAGTGTAGCGTTGATTTTTTCGAAAGGAATTTGTAGTTGAGCCGCGTGTTGACACTTGCTGAAATTTGCATTTGAGTTTGAACAGGTCTTGATGAAGTACACTAATTGCGAAATAATGCTTTGTCAAGTTATGTTCGTTTTCTTTCTTCTCTGATCTTCCTGGCTGTAATATTAGGGTTTTTTTTGCTTGTCTATTACAGTTCTGACATGGCAGACTCAAGCTCAGTGAACGTCATACTTGAATTTCTGCGAAGTAATAAGTTTGCTAAAGCTGAGGCTGCATTGCGCTCTGAGATAGGTAACCAGACTGATTTAAATGGGTTTATGCAAGGTCTTAAGCTTGAAGGGAAGGACATAGGAGGGAAGTTAGTAGATGAAAAAAGTATGTCAAAACCTGGTGTGAGTGATGAAGTATCAAAAGAGGAGCTTGTTGTGAAGGAAATAACAAGGAATGGATCAGATAGTAAATGGAAAAATGTTGCCTTTGTTGAAGAGCAAAGTAAAGCGGGAGAGTCAATTGGAACAAGGGATAAAAATTATATGTTATCAAATAATTCAGAAGAAACTGTGATTGATTTATATTCAAGAAAGTTTAATTCCAGTAATGGATCGGTTGATCTCTACCAAAATGATGCTGCTTCCATTAGAGCAAACGATGCAAAAGAGTATCTGGTTTCTTCTCAATCAAAGATTCATCCATCTGAATTAGCTGATAAAGATAGAGTTATGGACAACCCTTGGTCAAAAACTGATGAAATTAAATACAGTTCATCAGATGTATGGAAAGATTGTTCTGTTAAAACAGTATTTCCATTCCCCAAGGGAGCTGCATCAACTAGTTATGATGCTAATTCAGGTATAGGAGAAAAAGAAGATAGAAAACGTGGTGTTGACAACAACATTAGGGCAGCAATCAAAGAGCAAGTGGATGAGGTTGGAAAATCTTTGTATTTCTCAACAACTCAAGGGAATAATGAATCAAAAGCTTTTGGTGGGTTGAGTTTTCCAGTTATCTCAGAGAAACATAAGGAAGAATTACCTAGGTTGCCACCTGTCAAACTCAAGTCAGATGAGAAAGCATCAAATATAACTTGGGAGGAGAAGTATCAACGTGATGGGCCTTGTTCAAAGACTATTAATGCTGATACTAGTTTTCTTATAGGATCATTTCTTGATGTTCCTATTGGTCAAGAAATAAGCTCTTCAGGTCAGTACTCACTAGTATATATTATACAACTATATATATGATTTTTATTTTTGTTAAAAGCTATGTTGTTCATGATGTAACTACTAACCAGGGATGTTATTTGATCTTACCTTCTACTCCTTTAATGATTTAGGTGGAAAAAGGCCTCCAGGTGGTAATTGGTTTTCTGTAAGCCAGGGAATCACTGAGGACACTTCTGATTTAGTATCTGGATTTGCAACAATTGGTGATGGAATGAGTGAATCCATTGATTACCCAAATGACTATTGGGATTCAGATGAGTATGATGATGATGATGATGTTGGCTACATGAGACAACCAATTGAAGATGAAACCTGGTTTCTAGCTCATGAAATCGACTACCCAAGTGACAATGAAAAGAAAACAGATCATGAAAACAATCGGGACCCACAAGAAATATCTCCAGAAAAAAACGAAGATGATAATCAGTCTTTTGCTGATGAGGATTCATATTTATCAGGTGACCAGTTTTTTCATTCAAAAAGTATGGATCCAGTTATTGCTCAGTATGATGGGGAGCTTATGGATGAAGAGGAGTTGAATTTGATGCGTGCAGAGCCTGTGTGGAAGGGGTTTGTGACACAAACAAATGAGCTTATCATGTTAAGTGAAGGGCAAGTCTTGGAAAAGACTAAAATGCCCCTGTTGGATGATCTTTGTGTAGATGAAGAACAACATGGTTCTGTGAGATCAATTGGTGTTGGAATCAACAGCGATGTTGCAGATTTTGGTAGTGATAATGATGTTGGTATTTCATCACATGATTCCGAGAAGAAATATATCAACAAGTCCACGAAAGACAAAAGGGTAAAACCGTCATTTCATCATGATAAGCCTATGATTTTGACGAAAAACACGACAAACAGTGGATTTTCTTTTCCACCACCTAGAGACGGGCAGCCGGTGGCTGTTTCTAATAAAGCTTTCTGGATAAACAAAAGTGAGGAAACTGATAATCGATTGCATACTTTAATGGGAAATGACGATTTCGCCCCTCCATGGAGACGAAAAAGTAGTAGTTCTTCACCTGTTAAGAGTTCAAGGGAAGAAGAAGAAGAAGAAGATGATGATGATAAAGATGCTGTAGGATCAGCAAATTCGAGCCCTTCCAGTTTCTCAAATTACGGTTATGCCGAAAATGCCTGTGTTGCTAAGAAAGAAACCAATTCTAAAGAAGACGATCCAGGGGCATTATTGGAAGATGAAGAAGCAGCTGCTGTCCAAGAGCAAGTGAACCAGATAAAAGCTCAAGAGGAAGACTACGAAATCTTCAACCTCAAAATTGTTCACAGAAAAAACAGGTATGTCTTATTGTCTTCTCTTGCATCTAAAAATTACCATTTTACCCTTGATTTTTGTTTTTTTTCTCAGAACTGGATTTGAAGAGGACAAGAATTTCCATGTAGTTTTAAATTCTGTGATAGCTGGTAGATATCATGTTACAGAGTATCTTGGTTCTGCTGCATTCAGCAAAGCTATTCAAGCACATGATCTTCACACTGGCATGGATGTGTGTGTGAAAAATAATAAAAAACAACAAAGACTTTTTTGACCAAAGTCTTGATGAGATAAAGCTTCTAAAATATATCAACAAAAATGATCCTGCTGACAAATACCACCCTTCTCAGACTTTATGATTACTTTTACTACCGAGTAAGTCAAATTCATAACTCTTTTTTTTATAAATTTGATTTTTCCTTTTTGTATTATTAACTTGTTTACATATATGTACATTCTTTCAGGAGCATTTATTAATCGTTTGTGAACTTCTCAAAGCAAACTTATACGAATTCCATAAATTCAATAGAGAATCCGGAGGAGAAGTTTACTTCACAATGCCAAGATTGCAGGTTTTGTTCTGTTTCCATTTCACCTCTTTTTCTTTTTATGATAAAAAACTAAAAAAAAAACATTTTTTTTAAAAAAAATTTAATGTATGCAGTCGATAACGATCCAGTGTTTAGAGGCGCTTCAGTTTTTACATGGACTTGGGCTAATACATTGTGATTTAAAGCCTGAGAATATTTTGGTGAAAAGCTACAGTAGATGTGAAGTGAAGGTGATTGATCTTGGAAGCAGCTGTTTTGAAACAGATCATCTTTGTTCTTATGTACAATCCAGGTCATATCGTGCACCCGAGGTCATTTTGGGACTTTCATATGATAAAAAGATTGATATTTGGTCCCTTGGATGCATCTTAGCTGAACTTTGTACTGGAAACGTAAGTTTTTTTTAAAATAATTTATAAAGTCTTCAAATTACCAAAGTGGAATAATTATTTATTTATTTATTTTTTGTAGGTTCTATTCCAGAATGATTCCCCAGCTACTTTGCTTGCTAGAGTGATTGGAATTATTAATCCCATTGACCAAGACATGTTGGTCAAAGGGCGAGATACGTATAAATATTTTTCAAAAAACCACATGCTTTATGACCGAAACCAGGTACACTTTAAAATATATAATTCTAATAGTCTTTGTATACATGATGCTTTATGCTTTATGGTTTGTGTTTGTATTCAGGATACAAACAGATTGGAGTATCTGATTCCAAAGAAGACATCATTAAGGCATCGGTTACCAATGGGTGATCAGGGGTTTATAGATTTTGTGTCTCATTTGCTTGAAATTAATCCAAAGAAACGGCCTTCAGCAACAGAAGCTTTGAAACACCCGTGGTTATCGTACCCTTATGAACCAATTTCATCTTGAAACTTGAAACAAAATGAAAAAGAGTTGGATCAAATGTATTTATTTATTTATTTATGTGTTTGGGTTAAGAGCGTAATTGTGATATGTTGAAACTTGAAAGGAGTTGGTTTGGTTTGGTTTGTATGGTTAGGGAAATGTTGAAGGAGGTTGTTGTACATATCATGATATGCTGCCAAGTACTGATACTATATCATGTGTTTAGGGGTCATTTTGGTAGTGGTTAGTGAAATAGTGTTTTAATCAAATTTTGGTGTTTTTGATGGGTTTAAAGCCAAAATGAAATGGTGTTTCTTGTTTTAGTTTTTGAATTGGAGTTGGTATTTAAGAGCATCTACAATGGAAATAGAAAAGCTTTTCTGCTAAGCTGTTTTATGATATTATTGTCACCTCGACAAACCAAAAACCTTAATATACCTTGATTATGGTAAGATGTTTTCGTTTAGCTTGTTTGTGGGTCTCATTAATAAAGTGTTAATTTTTATGAAACCCTTTGAAAAAAATATATCTATATATGTTGGACTTATTTACGATTTAGCCATACATTTTTAACATAATAAGACATGAAAACGGGTAATTTATTCAATTTCGGGTTATCACACAGTTACCGTGAATTACCTGTGCCCTTACAAACGTTTACATGGATTATGAGTAATTTTCTAGGGTTTTTAAGGGGTTAGAGCTTCACATTTCTTCCTCTTTTTCACAACTAACATCAAAACCTAGTAGAACGTATTTTCTTCACGTTGAGTACGAGGATGATGTAAAACCTAGTAGAACGTATTAGACTTTGAAGAAGATGATTTCAAAACAAAAGCCAACAATAGTTGCAAATATTGTAAGATAATAGATTGTTTTTATTGATAAATAGTAAAGTTAAACATCATATAAATAAGGTTACATAACAGACCCAATTTAAACCCTAAAGGGCTTGCACCTAAACCCAAATCACTAACATCCCCACGCAGTTTGATCGGGAGAAGACGATTAAACTGGAATAATAAAAACATAAAACATAACATAAATGAAGACAACACCAACGACGGTGGCAGAGGTCTAACGATAATGGCTAACAAATGCTTGTCGGAGAAGAAGTGACGACCAACGATTCCTTTGTGTAAGAAGAGGGCTCGAGCTGCTGCGGACGGAACCAACATCGGCGACTGCAATGTTGATAGAGAAAAAACAACTACACATCAGAGGCTGCCCGACAAAGAAGATGCCATCGGAGAAAGGCAGCCGTAACATCAGAAGGGGCTGAATTGGAAAATAACTCTGAAGAAGTGGCCAACCGAGAAGGAGACAAAAGTAGACGAGGCAGTAGAAGAA